GGCATTCGGGATTGTGATGGAGAGCGGTCTGGGATTCGGGATTGTGATGGGGAACGGTCCAGGGTTCGGGATTGTGGTGATGGAGAACGGCCCAGGGTTCGGGATTGTGATGGGGAACGGCCCAGGGTTCGGGATTGTGATGGGGAACGGCCCAGGGTTCGGGATTGTGATGGGGAACGGCCCAGGGTTCGGGATTGTGATGGGGAACGGCCTGGGATTCGGGATTGTGGTGATGGAGAATGGCCTGGGATTCGGGATTGTGATGGAGAACGGCCTGGGGTTCAGGATTGTGTTGGAGAACAGCCTGGGATTCGGGATTGTGGTTCTGGGCCCTGGAATGGCCCAGGATTCGGGATTGTGGTGATGGAGAATTGCCCAGGATTAGGGATTGTGGTGAAGGGGAACGGCCTGGGATTGGGGGGTAGGCCTGGGAATGGCCCAGGATTTGGGATTATGGTACTGGAGAACGACCTGGAATTCGGGATGGCAGGGTAGGCCCGGGAACAGCCCAGAATTTGGGACTGTGGGGTAGGCCCTGGAACGGCGCGGGACTTGGGATTGTGGTGCTGGGAACAGTTTGAGATTTGGGATTGCAGTGCTCGGGAATGGCCCAGAATTCGGGATTGTGGGGCAGGCCTTGGAACAGCCCAAAGTTTGGGATTGTGGGCCAGGCTCAGGAATGGCCCAGAATTCGGGATTGTGGGGCAGGCCAGGGCGGCCTCCTGTGAGGAGGGGATGGGTTTGGTGTGGCCAGAGGGACACGGAGCCTGCGGCCACCTCAGCAACACCCGAGGGACCCCGGAGGGACCCCGGAGGGATGGAGCTCGGGCTCCTGGGGCAGAGGGGCTCCTCTCCCGAGCCTCTTCCTACCTGGCTGCTGGATGGCTCCGCTCGGTCCTGGGAGATGCTGGAGTGACACTCCAGGATGTTGGGTTGATTCCCTTGCTGGAGATGCTGGAATGGTGCTCCGGGATGTTGGGTTGATTCTCTTGGAGATGCTGGAATGACACCCTGGGATGTTGAGTTGATTCCCTTGGTGGAGATGTTGGAATTGTGCTCTGAGATGTCGGGTTCATTCTCTTGCTGGAGATGCTGGAATGACACCCTGGGATGTTGATTCCCTTGGTGGGAGATGATGGAATAGTGCTCCGGGACGTTGGGGTGCTGGGAGATGCTGGAAATCCTGCTCCAGGATGTTGAGTTGATTCCCTTGCTGGAGATGTTGGAATTGTGCTCCGGGATGTTGAGTTGATTCCCTCACTGGAGATGCTGGAATTGTGCTCCGGCATGTTGGGTTGATTCCCTCACTGGAGATGTTGGAATTGTGCTCCGGGACGTTGAGTTGATTCCCTTGCTGGGTGATTCTGTTCCCCGGCCATGCCGAGTGTTTTCCCACCGGTCCATGGGTGCATCCCGAGGTTCGGCAGCGCGGGGTGAGCTTTGGGAGGTGCGGACAGAGCAGCTCCATCCTCCGTGTGCCGCGGGGGGCTCGGGGGTGGCCGAGGAGCCTCAGAATTGCCGGTCCCTGCCCGTGCCGGCCTTTCCCGGCCCCGGCAGCCCGGGAGGCGAGCTGTGCGAGCGCTTCCAGCAGCATCCCGTGCCTGGCCGGGCCCTTCCCGGGGGTGACATCTGCTGCGTGCCCGCTGGAGCCCGGGGAAGCCGGAGCCGGCTCCTGCTTTTAATTGACAGCAGCGCGGAGCAAACAAAGCCAGCCCGGCTGCGCTTCCAGGCGAAAATGGGGCGAGCGGGGAGGGTTTCGGGGAGGGTTTTGGGGAGGGTTTCCCCCCTTTTGGGGCCGCAGCATCCCCTGGAAGGCATCCCTGGCGCAGCATCCCCCCCGGCAGGCATCCCGCAAGGCATCCCGCTAATTGCGGCGTGGTCCTGCCGGCATCTGGCTGAGGGTGGCTGGTCCTGAACAAACAAGTTTATCAGCTGACCTGTTTAGCGGTTGACTTGTGTTTATCTGCACACAATCAAGTAGACTGAAGTGCTTGAATTATTCATGCAGTGTCCTGCCCTCCAGACTTGACTGCTTGTGATTACATCTGCTCCAGACAAACATTGATGGATACTTCATCTTTAAGCAAAGGGGGATTGTCTGTCTGTGGGCTTATATAACAGATTATCTCTTCCACGCTGAATATTAAGTGTGTGCATATGTGGCTGCGTGTGGGGTTGGGTTTTTTTTTGGGGGGGGGGGGGTTTGGGGGGGGGTTTTTTTGGCCTTCCCCCCCCCCCCCCGCCTTTCTTCTCGTTTTGTTTCTCGTTAGGAAAAAAATGGAGTTTCATAAACAACTCCATATGCAAAGGAATATTTAGGAAGTGATTCCCCAGTCGGTTGCAGTGAATCGTTCCTTACATCAGTCTTCCTGCTGAACTCGATTCCTTCCTAAACCCGACTCCAATCAGGAATTTTTTTCTTTTGAAACACCGGCAAAACTTTTTTTTTTTTTCCCTTTTTTTTTTTTTTTGTTCGGCTTAATTGATTTTTCCAAAAGAAACTTCTCTTCCCCCCGTGGGCCGCGCATTGTTTCTGTGCAGATCTCCGTGGATAATCGCCGAGGGCAATAACCATTCCAAAAGGAAAACTCATTTTGCTTGGGGAAACGGGACACCTCGCAGGACAGAACCTTTGTGCTGCCTCTCATTTCTTGTTATGGCTGAGAACGCTCCAGAGAAGCGCTTCTTGTTTTCCTGCCTTGTGCTTGGAACAAACCTCAACCCCCCAGCACTTCCCGGGGAAGAGAGGCAGCTTTTTGTCTGTGCCTTTCTGGAATATTCCAGGAGCACAATATCCTTTCTGTCGCGCTCGTTAGCAAGGAGTGCCAGGTAATAATTTGCTAAATACTTCACAAGCCGAGTAATTTGTGCGCCGCGCTCTCAGCGCTCCCGAGGCAGAGGGGGAATTCTCTCTCGGATCTTGGATTTTGGGGGGCTCCTGGCTGAGTTTTGGGGGGGGTCCGGGCGAGCTTTACCCCGTGGCTGGTGGTAATTCCCTAATGAGGGGTTGTGTCCTGCCCCTCCACACCCCCGCCCTGAATTTAATTCTCATCAGCCAGGCTCTCCACTTTGCTAATAACGATAGCAGCCACAAATAGCTTTCAACATGCCATTGACAGCCCGCTTGGAGAGAGCACTTGAAATAGTGGTAGACAGCTGAAAGTACCCATAATTGTGCGCCCGAGTGAGAACCACACTGCTCAAGGGCCTGATTTTCATGTGCTTAAAGAGACAATATCCTGGTTTCAACAAATGCTGCTGGTGCTTCACGCCTCGTGTGATTTACTCCTCCTCCTGTGCTGGGGAGGAGGGTTTGGGGGGATCTGGGGGCTGTGGGGTGCTCCTCCTGTGCTGGGGAGGAGGGTTTGGGGGATCTGGGGCTGTGGGGTGCTCCTCCTGTGCTGGGGAGGAGGGTTTGGGGGATCTGGGGCTGTGGGGTGCTCCTCCTGTGCCGGGGAGGACCTGGGGGCTGTGGGGTGCTCCTCCTGTGGTGTCGGTGCTCCTGCAGCCCCGTTTGCAGGGTTTAGGGGTGCCCTGTGTGTGTGTGTAGGGATGGAGTTGTTCTTTCCCAGGGAACGGTCGCGTTCCCGAGGCTGCCGGAGCTCCGGGAGCGCTTGGGCAAGGCTGGGGTTGGCGGTGAGGTGTGTGTGCAGGGCCCTGGGTAATCCCTGGTGCTCCACCTCTGGAGGTTCCTGGATTGGAGGAGGTGGAGATGGTGGGTTTGGGGTGCCCCAGGAGGAGGGAGGGCAGCGTTCTGCGTTCTGCGCCTTCCCCCTGTCCTGGTGAGCCCAGGAGTGAGGGCAGGCTGGGCTGGGGCTGCCGTGGCCCAAAATCTGTTCTGGGGGCTCCAGCTGCCATGGCCTGCTGAGCTTCCCTTCCCCACGGAGAACGTTTTCCGTCTGGGGGACACATCGAGGGGTGTGTGCTGTGTGTTTTGGGGTGTTCTCTGCAGGTTCAGGGTTGCTGTTTGGGATTGTTTTTTGGGCTGTCCCGTGCAGGGTTTTTGGGATGCTGAGCAATGCCCAGGAGGGGTCTGTGTCCTGTCCTGTGCCACGGGGGCTCTGCCTGGGGGTGTCACCCCGGGCTGGGACATCCCTGCAGCCCCGTTAGCCTCGGGCCCATCCAAACCCAGACATTTTGCCACAAGGAGCGTTCCCACCCACCCTGGGTGTCCCCCCCACCCCCAGAGCTCTGCCCTCCCAGATTTGGGGTCAGTTCTGAGCCTCTCCCGTGACTGACACGTGGTGGGGTTATTTCTAACCCCCCCTCTGCCCCATCCAGCTGTGGGACGGGAGGTGTGGGGCACCGCGGCTGTTGAACAGCGCGGAGCCAGCGCCGCTTGGGGCCGGGAGCAGCTCCCGGTGTCCCCGAGTGCTCGGGATGCTGCTGCTGGCTCTGGCCATTTTGAGAGCAGGTGACAGGAGCCTGAGCCGGGGCCAGGCGGTGCCGGTGTTGATTTATCACCGGTGCAGATGTTTTCTCTGGTTTCGCTGAAACCCCACGCCGGGAGCTCCTGGGCAGGCTCTTGGCAGGGCCGCGGAGCGAGGGGGGAATTCATCGGGATTTCAGCTTCTCCCCACTCCTTGCCCTTTTTAACGAGCGGGACTATCCCGGGATTGGCTCCTGGCGTGGTCGGGAGCCTCTCCCCGTGCCCCCCTCTGGGCGTTTCTGGTCCAGGGAAGATGCAGGGCAGCGGAAGGGGATGCGGAGCTGGGATTGCCATGGCAACCCGCGGTGGGAACGGAGCTTTCCTTGGCAGGAGCAGCTCGGGGGCTCTGGGCGAGGTGATGAACGAGCCCTGTGAAGGGGAAGGTGTTGGGCACGGAGCTCTCCCCCATTCCCGGTGTTCCCCTTGAAGTTTTGATGGGGACAACTGGAGTTTAACGTGCCAGGGAATGGGAGAAGGGAAAGCAAGGAAATATTTAAAAGAGGATTGAGTCTCGTGTTCACGGCTGTAAATGTAATATTTGGGACATCCGATATCCCCGTGCTCGCCCGATCCCACGTGGGAAGTCTGTGTGGAACGGGGAGTTTGGCTTCATGTCTCGCTTGGAAGTTTTGTGTTGAAGGGTGGAAGCGTTACGTGTGCTCCTGGGCAGGGAAAACCCAGCTCCTTCCCTTCCTGCCCCCTGGAATCCGCTTTTCCCGGGATGCAGCCCAGGGGGGCGGGTGCTGGCAGCGCCGTTTTCCCCTCGGACGTGGATGGGATTTGTTCTGGAACCCGGGAGCTGCCGGGGCCGGGCTCCTGGAGCAGCGCTCGCCGCATCCCGGCTCCGATGGCTGGAGCTGCAGGAATAAATCTTTAATGGAGCCGCAGCTAAATATAATCTGATCAAAGCTGCGGTGCCGAAGAGCCTGGAAGGAGCTTTTCCTGCGGCTGGGCACGGAGGTGGCCCCGGGGCTGCGCTGGGATTCGGCAGCCGGAGCTGTTGTGTGAGCGTTGGGTGCGGAAAGGCTCGTGCTGGCCAGAGCCTGCTGCTGGGGACGGGGCTCCCGAGGGCCAGGTGTCCTGACAGTGACACAGGGCTCCCGAGAGCCAGGTGTCCTGACAGTGACACAGGGCTCCTGAGAGCCAGGTGTCCTGACAGTGACACAGGGCTCCCGAGAGCCAGGTGTCCTGACAGTGACAGCAGCAGCGGCTTCCCGCCGCCCGGAGCAGGGATAGGCGGGATACCGGCAGGGAATCCTTCCCTGGGGGGCTGCCGGGACACTGGTGCCCATCACTGCCCCGTTCCTGGAAGTGGCCAAAGCCAGGCTGGAGCAACCTGGGCTCCTGGAAGGTGCAGGGAGTGGAACTGGTTGAGCTTTGAAGTCCTTCCCAACCCAACCATTCCAGGATTCCGTGGCGCCCCGGCTGCCCGCTGGATCCGCGCATCCTCACGCTCGGGGCCGCGATGATCCCGGTGACTTGGCCGTGGCCGGGGTACCTGAGTCCAAGCTGTGGTCACTTCCCGCCGTCCCTGCCTTGGCACGGTGTGCCAGCACGTTCCCGGCCTCTGGAATTGCTAAGAAAAGCATCAGGTGTAACCCAATCACCGGGGGTGCTGCTGGGGAAGAGGATGGCCGGGAATGTTCCATGGGCTTTGCAGCTCTGTGGGGAGCCCCTGGAGCAGGAGCCGGAGCTCTGGGGGGCTCCAGGCAGGGCAGGGCAGGATTTTCCCGGTGTCTCCTGGGCTGAGGGGCCTTTGGGATTTTTCCTCCAGATCAGGATCTTTGGGGTTTCTGAGAGCAGGTGGAGCCGAGGGCTCCTTTGGCTTGGCTGGGATTCCAAGGTGCTGCTGGACATGTCCCGGGGCTGTGGGAGCAGGAGTGCAGGATTTGGGGAGCACAGGGGGTTTGGGGCAGGGTTTGGGACAGGATTTGGGGCAGGATTTGGGGAGCACAGGAGGGTTTGGGGCAGGATTTGGGGAGCACAGCGGTGTTTGGGGCAGGATTTGGGGCAGGATTTGGGGAGCACAGCGGGGTTTGGGGCAGGATTTGGGG